TTTGTTTTCTTTTCACATTGTTCTTGTTGCTGAAAGATGCGATAAATGCTGCGTTTACGTCGATTTGTTGTTGGTGGAGGAGATAAAGTGATTGTGGGTGCACCAGTATTATGGGATGTAGATTCATGCTCTTTGCTACTAAGTGTACTACTGCTAGCATCACTACGCCCTTCATCGTTATGTGGATAGATTGCAAGACGCTCGTTTACAAGAAAGCTGGTCATGGCCACTCAGGGGTAATAAGAAAGAGAGAGAGAGAGAAAGAAAAAAAGGGTATGGGTGGTAAAGATACATATTTATGTTAGATTAGATCCCCATATTCAGTTTCTCCTGCTATTGATAATGATGATGTTGTTGCTGCTACTCCTTGTCTCCTCCCCCAAAACTCCCTTTTTTCCGCTTCTCGTGCCGTCTTGATACTGTAAAAAGAGACATACCATGCCATGCACTATTGGGTGTATTCTTTATTCAAACATTTCGGGGTACTTTTGACTATGTTCTACAACTTTGTTTGCCAAGTCGAGATCTGCAATGCATAACATCCGTTTTTAGTCTCTAGAATGATCGTCCCTGTTGCATTCTTACCAAAGTCGTTACCCAAATTGGTCGTCGTAAACTCGGTCAAGCCGAAATCTCGTTCTACTTTGCCAATCACTTCAACATATTCCGTGCCCCACTGCGATTCCTAGATATAATATCAATACAATATGATTCATTGCTATCAACACATTCTTTATATATATGTATATATATACTTACTCCATTAAGCTTGACAAGGACTTGACCATGGTCACTTGCTTCAATAACGGCTGTGTCACCGGTAAACTGCGCATATAAAGTCCATTTCAATAACACTTTGTCAATCACTTTCATGACAGCACTTACCGAAAGCACTTTGCCTGCAATGCGTACTGTTGTACCAACGTATTTCTCACGAAGTTTGGAATTGATGCGTGGTGTAGGTTTGTTGTTCATTGTAAACGCGAAAAGGCACGAGAAAGAAGCGGTATCAGAAAAAGAAGTGATTTATCCACACTCGCGTCTTGGTGCACAGCCTTTGAATCATTTTTTTCTCTCTCAGAAACATGGCTGATCACCCCAACAAGGTTGCCTTTGAACAAGGCCTGAATTATGTACTACGATCGTGGACAGCATTGAATCTAGCAGTCGAACAAGATTGGGGAGGTGTCGAATCAGCAGACAAAAGAGATTGGATGACACAAGTGCTTCTCGATTACTTTGGTGCAAGTAAGTGTGTGCCGACTTTTTTTAATATACACTCAACTCAAACCACGCACACCAGATGGCAAGAGACTAGATGTAGATGATATTGAACAAATCTTGGCTCAAATCATGACGGATGAATTCCATTGTGTGCTTGAAGACGATTCACCCTATCTGGTATGAATTACTTTTTTGTTTGTTTCACTTTTAACAATACGGTATATCTAGGTAGCCAAACATCTTGTGGAAATCTATCATCAATGTATCCATGGCAACTATGAAGAGGTCGAACGACTAAAGCAAAAGTTTGAATCTCGATCCAATGCTGTGTCAAGCTCTCGTGCAGATGGCTCTAGTGACGATGAAGATGATGATGTCGACAATGACCAAGACAATGATGATCACGATGATAATGCCATGGTATGAATAACAGTCATGTGTAATGATCCATATACTAAGTTATCATTCAACATAGGATGTTGATCGATCCGCACCTCCCGAACCAGAGATTGACGATGATGGTTTTGAAACTGTGTCATATAGAAAACGACGATAGAGCTCTTTTTGTAATATATTCATTATTTTATTCCCATTTATGCGTATCAAATGGAGAGGAGTGCTGAGCATATATCTACAAATCATGCAAATTCGTTGTTGTCAACCCCCTTCCTATTCCTTCAGTAATAAGCATTGGTCTTTATCCTCACAATTCATCAGATGATGGGATCACTAGTGTGTTTTCGCATTCCAGTGCATTGAACGATTCCATGGCACCCTGTAAAATAGGGGCTTATTGTCACAGTTTATGCATTTGTTTATCGGTTGATAAAAGGAGAGCGATCATGGATTGGCATGGGCATATTGTATGTGCTCATTACTGCTCGATTGGTCTATGATGCCTTTAATGAGTGAAGCGAGGAATGGATACAACTGCATATCAATTGACCATTCGCCTGTGAAATAATAAAAAGCTTTGTTTATCATTATACTGCAGGCTATTGGCCGTGGCAATCAATATTTCTTTGTGCAACCTGTCAACCATGTGCAACCATTATGCTGCTGCATTGTTGGATGCACCAGGCACACAACGCATTTATTTGTAGCATACCCACCCATATGCTTTTTAGGATCTCTGATTTCAACATTCATACATGAAAATAAGTTGAGATGGTGTACGGTCTGCAATGACCATGCGTCGTATCAAGAAATAGTCTACATAGCAGATCGACATCATGATCACACATTGGCTCTGATGAACAATCCCAACCTTCTGCAATCAACCATACCCAAATCATACATTAATAATCATCACCTCCCTTTTCGTGAGCATAATGAAATCTATAGATGATCTTTGTGTTCATTTATGGTTTTCATTGTTATTCTCCCCTCATTGTCGTGGTTGTTATTAAACCTTTTTTTTTGGCTCTTGTCATGAGGCAAACCTAAGCATATTGCTTGATGAATCACATTTATGACTTTGGAATAAACATAAATCTAAAGAAACTTTTTGTGATCCAGTGCTGATCCGACAACTGTAGTCATACAATAATAAATTCATCGACCTTGCATGCCTACTACTCTACTCTAGCCAACAGTGAACAGCGGTATAGGGGAGCCACGACAATATTGATCAAGTTTATTCAGTAATGAATGCATTCTTAGCCCTGGGTTGGTTTCATTGTACAGTAGAAATAATAGATATGATTGACATTACAAGGTTTGTGATTGAATATTAAAGCTGTTAAGGACTGCATATACCATGTTGTTTGAGTAGATAAAAATAACAATCGATCAACATAAAAGGCTGTAAAGCAAGATTTGTATAATTATTGGTTTGGTTTTATTTTGTGTGGTAAGAAACGAACAAAAAGGTGATCATTTATTGTAGGCGTCAAAGCTGCTACACGGTGTATATAGTGTACAGGAACGATGGATATCCATGATGGTGGTCGCATGGTGGCATGACAAGCAAAGCAATCATATATTCGGTTGGTAAAAAAGAGGGTGACTAGAATGGTTGTATCATCCAACTAATGCAAATTAATGGTTTTGGTTGGACAAAATAATATAGCGGGCGGGTAGGAACAAGGATCATTTCACCAGAGGGCTGTACTATGGTGATTGTGATGGTGTAGGAATTATGAGTTTGCCTCGATGCCATCAAAAGTAAATTTGACCGAAGATAGAGTCCTTTGCCAGCTTGTAAATGCTATCATTAACAAAAGCTAACGAGAACTCATACTCAAGGTATCCACAGGAACAGGATCACAGACTTGAGCATATGCATGCTGGTAGTACTGGAGCAAGTATTGATAGTAGTTATGATATGAACACTGGGTTACCCAAGCCGAAGAGGAACTGAAGAAGGGGAAGTCTTTCACAACCCACTGCCGGTGATTGGTCTTGAAAACCACAATGTGCACTCGGAGTCGGCTTTCACCACTCTATGTCTCATCGACTAGCTAATATCACCTTCACTTGTATCCCATCATCTTGAACATTAACTTATCCATTTGACATGCCTTGCTCTTGCAGAAAAAAAGACACGCCTTGCCTTGAACATCATTTTTTCATCATCGTCACACACGGGCACATATCAACTTGGATTCAGAAGCAGGTGGATGTTGCGCTTCATCAATTCCTTTTTCCAATATCATCACTTTCATCTCATAAACACAAGCATCAGTCTTAATGTCATATGCTTTATGCCGATCAAGTGGTGCAAAAAGAAGACTTAGACCCTATCTTGTTCAACCTATCAACCATGTGTTCCCCTCACGTCAATAAAATCACATTACAGATATCGATGTCATTTATTATTAGTTGTAATGACAATCAGTACATTTTCATCTGTAATGATCCAACTGTTACTCGTGACATGTCAACTTGACAATCCGATTTTGAAACAATCAAGATATAGTTCACAGTGTATATTTTGTATTCAATCTTGCCACAGCAACATCCTCCTTTGTGCAACCTGTCAACCATGAGGATCTGCATACTTTCACACATGCATACAGCTCCACATGTCAATCATCAAGAACCATCTCTATTTTCGGAAGCATCCACTCACCAAATGTCCTTATATACTATAACGTCTTTGACCCATTTCGCATTCAATATTTGGCTTTCCGCCACTTTCCTTACTTTTGTAAGTCTCTTGCAACATGGTTTCCTATAAAGCTTTGCTAAATTTCTCTCTTCACCCATTCTCAGTTTTCACAACCTTTTGGTTCGTCCTTTGGGACGTTGATCTTTTCTATTTTTCTTTTCCGACCACCAGAAACATTGAGGTGTATCCCTTTTGCCTGTTGTTATCATTTCCCTTTTTTGACTTTTATTATGACAGATGCTTTAGGTTTCCTGTCAATAAACAAGTTTTCAAGTATCTGTCGCAGCTTTATGCTCGGCAATCTATTTTACCGAATAGCGCCACATTGTCTTTTTATGACAATCATGCAAAGCCTGATTATACCTCTACACTTCCAAGTCCACCTTCTACTTCGCCACCTTTGCCAAGCCCATCTCTTTGACAACGCCCCATTATTATAGATAACCAAACAGTATAAATATCCCCTCATCTTTGAGCAATAAAACAGCATCTTATATTCTGTACTTGATTCACTATCCTAATTGATCTATCTCTGGCCATTGGTTTACCAGCTCAGATATTGGACCGACATATCAGCACTACGTCACGTGACCCAAAAACACACGAAAATAAAAAAGATATCAGCTGAATCCTTGAGATCAACTCAGAATTCAACCAACTGTTGGGGGACAACTGGGATTTGAACCCAGGACCACTTGCACCCAAAGCAAGTATGATAGCCACTACACCATTATCCCCGTTCTTGTTGTTTTATGTAATACAGGAATGATAGAGGAAAAAATTTCCTAATGGGGATTTAAAAAAGTTCGTCTAATCGCTTTAAAATTTAAATCAGCATGCAGCGGAGTAGCCAAAGAGACTCATGGTAAACACGCCATAATTTTATGGGAGTTTCGTGTTGAGTAATTTGAAAATAAAGGTTTTTAAAATGTCAATAGCCAATAGTAATAACGTCAAGCTTCACAGCCATCTCCCCCCTTCGAGATTTCAATGTCAGCTCCTCCAAGTTGTAAGGAATCGAAAAACTTAATTGTCAACCTGACCATTATACTTGACAATCTCATTTTGAAGCAATAATGATTACTCTGATACAGCCAAAGTGCCATTTTTACATTAAGTCAAGAACTGGATCATCCTTATAACAAAGATAGATGTGCATGTGATATTTGGTAGTGAAAAATGTATTGTGATATTTCAGACACTGAATGATAAAGGATTAATGTATTTCCAGAATTTACA